TTGTACTTACCAGGGAGTCGACTCAGGATCTGAAATCAGACACCAATGGACTGGTTTGTGGGCAGAAACACACACTCGCACTCTCGCTCACGCTCAGACACGACACACACACTCGCACACGCATCCACAGTGCACCTTGGTCACACACGGACGTGTTCACGGGACAGCACAAGGTTAGGGACGTTGTCATAAAGGAGGACAAGCATCGGCCTCATCTGAGGGCCCCACTGATATATATATATATATATTGACCCTTCCAGTACTCTTGCTCTGGCCCCTCTTTCTTTCCTCTCCCACCACTCAGTCCTCACCCTTCTCTGGGTATATCCTGGCAGCCCTCTATTGGCTTGCAAAACAAGGCTTTCTTCTGTCTTATTTTTATTTTAAGCACAACTGGGTGAGGGTGTAGAAGGGGAGGTTTCTCAGGAGGAACAAGCCAGTGCTCTGGGTAGCTGGAGTAGACTAAAGCAGTTATGCGATGGAACAGAGTGATCTTACCCATTTTGATAAGTCTTTCTAAGGAGGAATAAAATTAACATGTAAGCAGATTTTCCTTTTGTAAAAGCAGAAGCCACGTCTCTTTTCGGGATCTTTCAGGTCTGGGGTTTGTTTGCTTCATTTTCCGTTTCTCTTCTCGATGCTCTGTGCCCTTAGTTATTTTGTGGTCGTCCTATGGTCCTCGTGCCTCGCGGCCACCTGCCTGCCGCCCACTGGCGCACGGGGGACACCTACAACCCTCCAACTTTGTACAGAGAAACACAGTCAGCTCTTTCTGCATGTGCTGGTCAAATCCCAACCCAGAGAACAGAAGCGCTAAGAATGAACAAACACGTGAAATAGGATGTTTTGTGTAGATAAAGCATTCTTGTTACATACTGGTCAATTTGTGATATGTTTTAACTTATTGTCTGTGCTTATTTATGGAATTTGGTTTTCTTAAATAAATGTTTGAACTAATATAAAGCATATTATTTGATTTTTCCGGACAAGTTTATATCAAGTTAAATGTAAATGGATAAAATAAAATCATTTTCAGTATGTGAAATGGACCACGATGGGCTTTGGTGTGACATTGAATGGCAGGAGGGGAGAGGGCCAGTCTTGGGCTCCTTATTCGCGCTGCATTAGCGGGATGCTGTGTTCCAGACGCGTGGGTCCTTGGCCCTTCAGCACATTCGGGCTCGGATTCTAGGCTTCACTGTCACCCCTCCACAGCGAGGCCTCAAGTTGGGGTGCATCGTCGGGCCCGGCAAGTCTAGGCTTGAGCCCTAAGACCTGCAGGCCGGAAGTGCACAAGGCCTGGGGAGTGCCCATCGGGAGCTCCGTGCCTCGCGAGGCTTCGGGACCATCCGGGGCACCATAGCCAGACTCTAGGCTCCGGGCGCAGCTGCCCGTGCGGAACTCAGGGACCAGTGTGAAGGGTTTCACGCGTACCGTGGAGCCGAGGGCGCCTCCCACTGGCGGCAGCGGAAACTGGGAAAGCAGAGACTGCGGGTGGTCCCTAGGCCTGTGAACCCTGCTCCGCCCCGCAGGGCTGGGCGCCCAGAGCCATGACTGTTCCAGGTACGCTGTGGATGGCCAGAGGCCCTGGCTCCTTTCTCCCCCGGGGCCTACGCCTTGTCTGGGCCTTCCCAAAGAGGGTCGCATCCCGTTCCGTCCCCAGACCCCTGACGGGCTTCAGATACCCTGGTGCTCAATGGGGCAAGCGGCACAGATTCCAGTCAGGGCGCCCGCGTCTGCTCTGGCTGTTTTTCTCACAGGGTCCAGGCTTAGTGCCGGCTACCCTCGAAGTCAGCCACCTACTCGGGGGATTTCCGACCAGCAGAGGTAAAAATCACTGTTTCTTCCGGTAGTCCAAGAGGAGAAGGTGCTGGTGTCTGTCCATTAAACTGGGAGTCAGATGGGTAACACTGTGTTGCTTTGGAAAACTAACCAAAAATAAATCTTCTCGTTTGAAATATAGTGGTCATTGTAGGCACTGAGAGGGCATTCATTTTCCCATTGGAAGAGTTCACATTTGTGTGCCACAGTGTGTAACTCTAAAAACATCCCTGACCTAGAATATGGTTTTGTACCGCTGGGCTACATGTGAATTTTAGGAACTACAGGTATTCTAATCATTACTCAACTATGCACAGTCAAATCTCAGAGTGAGGACAAAAAGGCATGATTTTCTGATAAAACCATGTATTCAGGTTACCTTACGAAGTTTTGTGTTAAGTTGGTGAGTTTACCGAATATTTCAGCTCTACATTTTCTAAAGAATAGTTTTGATGTAATATTAAGGAAGAGAAAAACATGCTAATTTGAGATTTCATATAAAAATGGAATATTTCTGTATTTTAGAATGCACTCTACAATTTAGGAGCACAACCTTAGGATTTCTACAATGTCAATAGATGAATATTACTCTTGCTTGTTTTTACATTTCACCATATTTTCCTTTGTCTTATGTCAGTGCTGTGATTTTTCTTTTTTACATTGGAAATTGTGGATACTGTAATCTCAAGTCACATTAAGAGATCAATACAAATCACAGATTGCTCCACCAGTGAGCATGGAAGATTGTTTACAAGGATGCTAATTTTACAGCTTTTTTATGCTGCTATAAAGCATAACTTTATGATGTAGGAATGCAATAAAGGATGCTAAATGGAATCTTTAAAAATTGTATTTCTCAAAGGCAGGAAAAATGAGATGTTTCATTTGAAAAAAATAGGCCAACTCAGAACACTGATGACAAGTTGCAAATCAACTAAAGTGATAGATACTTTCAAAGGTACTTATATTTCGTAATACAGTGGTCATTTATCAATATTAAAATGAAAATATACAGAGTTTTTCACTGGACCTGACTCTGCAATAATATTTGTTTCTATGGCAAGAGACTTTAGTATTAAGAATCCTGAGCATTTTAAGGTTATATATTCTATAAGGATAAAGGAAAGCCTAAATTATTAAGGTTGATAGGTTAGCAAGATAAAAAGTAGAGAATGAGAATCGCAGTAACTAACCTGAGAGACTCTTGCTTTTTTTGGGGAAAAAAAAAATCTAACCACAAAATCATGTTTCATATTATGTTTTTGTCATTATTAACAGTAATTCTGACTCAAAACCTAAAATTGTAAGTAAATTTAATAAGGAATAAATAATGCTAAATAATATCAGAACATAAAGTAGGCAAGTACAAAATGATGAATTGTACATTTTGCTGAGAGGCCTATTTGGGGCTGAATACTGTCACCACATGCTAGCCAAGAAAAGGTCAGAGTCCATTATAACTGTATGATTGATTTAATACATACATTTGTATCTTTATTTCATTCTTAATATTTTTACTAAATATCATGTGGCATACAAGGGATGGCATAGTAATGATATTGTACTTACCTTTTGTTGGTGGCAGAAGAGATATGATATAGGATGCAACCTGGTAAAGATAATGTTAGATACTGAACACAAAATAGGATACAGAGCAGTTTGGGTAAATTAAAGATACGTATATATGTGAATACAGATATACTGAGGACATACAGATTAACCTTTGACTTTGGGACAATTTATGTTTGATGCCCTCAAGAACTTGTTCCCCCAAAATGCAAATATGTTTTTAATTTTTGCAGACTTTACATTTTAATTTTTGGGATCAAGAAAAAATTTAGCGCACAAAGGTGTGTATTCTAGTAATGGCAGTAGTTAACCTGTCAGTTGAAAGAATGTAACCTTCCTTTTCTCCCTTTCATGACATAAAGATAATCTCATCTGAGGGCATTTATGTGAAGAAATAACAGCATGGCATGGTGAAACTACTGGCTCATTAATCCTGGCATCTACTTCCTACAGGGTTCCTTGATTAGTTAGATTCATTCATCGGGTATTTCAGAATTTTTGATTTGTCACCATTGGCTAGGTTCACTGAGTTCAGGCTAAATTGAGCCAGAAGCAATGTTTATTAGTAATTTTGTAGTACAGGCTACCCTAATAATTCAGCCCAAATATCTCATCTGAAAAATATCCATTCACCCTCGCTTCTAATGTGGGTTGCAGCTGTGTTCATAGGGAATTGAAAGAACACAAGTGATTGGGCATGTATTTTCTAAATTATTAATATGATGGCTAATAGCTGTAAACCCATCTTCGTATCCAATGCAGAAATTATGATTCATTTTAAAAATGAAAGCAGCAACAAAGGGGGGGCACCCCCTGCCTGGCTCTCTGCTAACTCTCATCACTGCAGAGCTTTCAGTCCAGAAACCCTAGCCTATTTAGCATGTGGCCATTACAGTGAGAAAGGAACAATGCCTTTGGCTTTTCCTTATGCATCCTCTTATCAAAACAAGGCTTGGATTTGTAAGATTTACTAGAAAATAATATGGAATTTCAGATATGAGCTACACAGAGGGCCCTCTTTTGATTTTGATGATCCAGCTTTCATCAGGCATAATTAGTTGTTTGTGCAGTTAAGCTGCATCTTCTGTTTCCCTGATCAAATACCCTATATGTCCCAGTTCCATCTTTAAGGACATACACTGGATTTGAGATGCACTTGTTGCCATTGCTCATGCTGACACAATCTCTCACAATCGAGAGACAGTTCTATTGTATGAAATAGCTCACAAATAGCAGGAAATAAATAATTAACATATGGTATCTCTTATAAGCTTAATAATTATCATATGGTATCTCTTCTTTATATCTTTTACTGAAATGTCACACGGGTTTATGTACTTCTGTTCATAGTGCTTGTCAAATCTACTTAAGCTAAATGAAGCAAGGTCAAATTAAGGACTGTAGAAGCTCTGAATACAGAAAAGGTTATATGTGATTCTTATGAAATTAAAACTAAAAAATTCAATATTATTAACACAAAACAGATATACTGGAATTAAAATAAGATCATTCAGGATTTTCTAATTGTGAAATTTTGAATGAATCCAGGGAAGCTGAATTGGTCGCTTTATGCTGTTCTTGATTGACTAATTATCATATGCTTAGTCTGCCTAGGTGTTTCAATACTGATTTCAGAAATTGTATTGCAAAGGGTGTTTGTTTCATTATGTTCCTTCTAGTTCCTTATATTTGCACCTCATTTTCCATTTACAGAGCACTTATTTAAATCGTCGCCCCTTTATGAAGTAGTATTATGGTCCCTATTTTACACATGAAGAAATTGAGACCCTAAGAACCTCAGCAACCTTCCAAGGATCCTAGTAAGTAGAAGAGATCATTCTTTACGTCAACTCTTCACATCATTTAATGATACCACTGTGTATGTGACATATAGACCTACTTTTTTTTTTTTTTTTTTGGTACAGGGGATCAAACTTGGGCCCTTGCACTTGTGATGCAGGTGGCAGAAACACTGAGCCAAATTCCCAGCCCCTAGAACTAGTTCTTATTAAGATATTTTCAGGAGAGAAAACTAGGCAACCTCCCTTACTTTGAAGCTTAACAGTTCAGTCTTATAATTTATTTATTTATTTAGGTACCAGGGATCGAACTTGGGTCCTTGCACTTGCGAGACAGGCAGAGGAACCACTGAGCTAAATCCCTAGCCCCTCAGTCTTGTAATTTAAACAAGGGTTGCTTTGATGGAACAAGATAACTGCATAAACTAAAACATGGGTCCAAGAGCCTAGCAGCACTCCTTTCCTTCTGAACCTCACCTCTTCCTAGAAGCTAATAAAGGCTATTTCAAAGGTGCCTCTTTATTGCATGATAAAGTTTTAATCAATGCAGTAGTCTCCTTATGACACAAACTCTGGGCTAACATTGTAAGAAACTTGTGAGATAGCTCTGTGAGTACTTTGAGAAAGGTAGCACTGTAGACAGAGAAGGGAAGGTGACTTGAGAGAGAAGATCCTTGAATTCCTTAGTGTTTCATATACATTTCTTGTTGGCCCTGAAAGTTTTTATAGAGAGATTTTTCAATGTTATTTCTGTGTAATATTGAATAATCACAACTCAGGGTAAACAATTTCTTCCATATATTAGGAATGGAATGAGAAATCCATAAGATCTCAGCATTTGAAGGAAACTTTGAAATCACTCAGCTCAAATTCACTGACTGTGGTTATCCTTTTTTGTTTCTTACCAAGTAATGTTGCAGATTCTGGTTAAATATGAGATAGATCTCTGCTTTTGGCCTAACTACCAGGAAGTTCTTCCTTTTATTAAGCCTATTCTGTGATTTTCCTTTTGTGGTCTTGCCTCATTAAGGACTTTCTATCACATCTCTTAATACTGAAGTGATTTTTCTTTTTAGTGTTTTA